CAGGCTACAAAAACTGCAGTTAAATAAATAAGAAATATTTGATCAGGCAGCTTAATTGTTTTGTATTATTTTATGTAAATACTTTTAAGCTCAAGTCATTACAACCATATTTATTTAGATATTTTTAACTTATTTAGCCTTAAAGCAGAAATCTGAAGATAGGCAATACTGAATAGAATGATAGCAAGATTATGTTTCCACCATGCACTAAACTATGATTAATTGAATCATGGTTTATCCAACACACTGAACTCAAACTAACCACATTGGCTGTGTTTGTCCAACACACACTAGCCAACCACGTTGTATTCCAGCATGTTGTGCAAACCAGCCCATGTAATTAATGTGTAGTTTAATGTGATCTGTGAATCCAGTAATTTAGATCCATCAAGTATCCTATAGTTAACTTAATTATATATGTAACCCAGGAAGTGTAGCAAAGTTGGGGAAATGAGTGAAGCTGGTGGAGATTGATAGAGGTTTGTCATGAGAGAAGTGAGAGAAAAATTACTCATGAGCAAGAAGTAAAGGGAGGATACCCAAAGCTTTCTCCTGCTGTCTGCCCTGTTGGGGTGCCTGCCTGTAGCTTGGGTTCAAGTTGGTGCAAGTACATAGCTAAGTAGAGCTGACTCAGTCTGTGCTTCTGAATGCAGGAAAGTAAACATTGGTTGTCTTTCATAACTAGCGTCTTGGGTATTATTGGACCTGTGGAGAAATAAGAGACACCACTTAGCATCCCTGCTAGGTGGAGACTTGGCAGTAGATTTGGTTGAAGGGGGTTTTAGATAGGGATTAGGGGAAAAAAAACTCATGGAGACTTAATGGCTGGCAATTTCCTCTAGGGCAGTGTTTCTCAATCTTATCAACTTTAAGCTATGTGGACTTCTAGCTTCTAGAATTCAACTATCTTAAAGTTGCTGAGTTTGAGAAACACTGTCCTAGGGTACAGTTTCTCAAACTCAGGACTAGCCTCTGTGTACAAAACAGGGTTCCCCAAAGAGCCCCACATTAGGAGCAAATTGTGTAAACGCAGCTCTAAGCCACAAACTAGGCAACCATACTTTTAATTTAAAAGCAAAAAGCTTAACAAGATTGTGATTCAAGAAAGTTTTAAACAGATAAAGGGTACAGTAATTTTTTAAAAATGGTGTGTGTGTGTGTATATATATATGCAAAAAGTGTTTCATCAGTATTATACTATTTTATACTACAGTATTATACTACTTTATATAAAGGACAAGAAATTTCCTTGAAAAAGTGGATGGATATTTATATAAACAGAATTTAGAGAATCAGAGACAAATTTTGAATGGACTTATAACAATAAGGGAACTGTGAGAAGCTATCAAAAAGACTGAAACAGGAAAGGCACCTGGTCCAAATGAATTGCTGGCCTCTTACTATAAATGTTTTGAGGATGAGCTTTTACAACCTTTACAACAAATGATGAATATTATTTACAGAGTGGAAAGATTCCTGATAGCTGGTAAGAGGCTAACATAGCATTAATACCTAAAGAAGAACAAGATTTGACTTTAACAAGAAACTATCAACCAATATCAATAGGCTGAAGATAACTTTACAGGGTTTTATTCATGAAGATCAATGCAGATTTTTACCTAAAAGACAATTATGAGATAATATTAGAAAGGTTTTAGATATTTTGAAATATTTGGAGCAACATAATGAAAAACAAGCTGTGTTGATATCCTTAGATGCAGAGAAGGCGTTTGACAATTTGAATTGGATTTTTTTGTTTAGAGTACTGGAACATATGAACCTTGGAGATAATTTTATTAAATGGATAAAATTGATTTACACTTCTCAGAAAGCCCAAACAATTGTTAATGGAGAACTAACAAAACCTTGTGAGATTTAAAAAGGGACAAAACAAGGATATCCGCTGTTCCACTTTTGATCATTTTAGTTTTTGAAGTACTGAATAGAGACATAAGACAAGATGACAGAATTAGGGAAGTTAAGATTTAAAAAAAAAACGTATAAGTTAAGGGCATTTGTGGATGATTTGGTGTTAGTTTTGGAAGATCCACTACAAGGAATAGAAACATTAATGGGAAAATTTTAAAAAATTGGTATGTTAGCAGGTTTAAGATTAATATCAGAAGACAAATATTTTAACAAAAAATATGAAATTAGAAGATCAAATAGAACTGATGGAGAAAACTGGTTTTAAGATTAAGAAAAAAGTAAAATACTTGGGTATTACTATGACAAATACGAATTGTATGCTATTTCAAAATAATTAAGACATGAAATTAAAAAGGGCATTTAAGATGGGAGAAATTAAAATTGTCACTGTTGGGGAAAATCTCTGTGATAAAAATGAATGTTTTGCCAGAATGATGTTTTTGTTTTAAACAATACCTGTTTTGACAACTGATGTACCTTTAAACAATGGCAGAAAGAAATATCTAAATTTATATGGCAAGGGAAAAAAACATGAGTTAAATATAAAGTGTTATGAGATGCAAAGGAAAGAGGAGGACTGGGTTTACCAGATTTGAAATTGTATTGAGGTTTGGTCTGGATGAAAGAATGGATGTTGCTGAGAAATAAGAGACTTTTAGAGCTAGAAGGTCACAACCTGAGGTTTGGATAGCATGGATATTTATGGTATGATAAAATTAAAATTAATGTGGATTTCAAAAATCATTTTATTAGACATGGCATATTGAGGATATGGAATAGATGTAAACCCAGGTTGTACCCCAAAACACCTTTATGGATCTCATCTCAAGAAGCATATCATAGAAGAGAAACAGCAGACAAAGACAAATGGCTAACGTACCATAGGAACTATTGGAAAACCATCAAGGAGAATTTAAAATTATATCCAGAAAGCAATGATATAGTTGAAATAATGAGAAGGATATAGTTGTCTATGATTTTCCCATTTACAGTTATCAGAAAGATTCAAAACGGACAAAAGGACTAATGGGATGGAGGAAAGTAAGACAGAATTTGAAGTACAATTGTGTATTGATGATGAACACGTACCTAATTGCTAAAATGTATAAACTTTTGTTGAAATTTGAAACAGGAAGAACAGGTTAAAGAATGTATGATAAAGTGGGCTAAGAATTTATAATAAGGGTTATAATATACAGATGGATTAATGGGAAAATATGCGGTTAAAAGGGTTACAATTTACATTGTGTTATGATTGCAAAGAGAATTTTTATAAAATGATGTATCACTGTGGAGTCCTTGGGGTTCTCTGAGCTTGGTTCTTTTCTTGCAAACGTTTCATTAC